AGCTGCCCTTAGAAAGGAGTGGCCAGAAACGTTTCATGCACTCTGTACTTGGCACATCCTCATGAATGCCAAGAAGCATCTTCGTAAAAACAAGAAATTTTGGAAGAAGTTCCAATCTCATCTTTCTTATATTTTCTACGACGTCGACAGTGAGAGAGAGTTCGACATGGCATGGAGCACAATGGTTGCTGATTGTTTCCCTAATAGCGAAATTGCGGACGGTCACCCATGGTTGGAATATTTGAAGAAATTTCGCCATCAATGGTGTTCCTTATGGTTGAGAGATCAATTCACAGGCGGGATGTTGACTACGCAAGCCAGCGAGTCGTGCAATGCACAAGTGCGACGTTTCTTGAAACCGAAGCATGATTTGGACATGTTTTTCATTCATTTTAGCAGGTACGTACGCAATATATATCTTTGCCTTTCTGTGATATTAGCTTGTTCGTTCGGGATATTTTTCTTTGTCATATGGATATTAATATGCTCTTGTTATATATTTTTTTTTGTTGTTCTGATATTAGTACTATTGTGAGTGGATATTAGTCTGGGCACTAATATCTTTTCTCTTGCTTTCTAAATGTAGTTTGGTTGCTGAAAAAAGACGCAAGGAGAGTGATTCAGACTACATTGGGAAACAATCGGTTCCCTATATAATGTTGGAGCACAGCCCGATCCTAAAACATGCGGCAAAGATCTTTACTTCTAACATCTTCAATCGGATACAGAAGGAGTATTTGACAACTGAAAAATATATAATGGAGACGCTCTCGGATACCAGGGATGATGGCATGATTGGCTACCGCACATATATGATAGAGGATGGTGAGCGTAGTGATGAGCGTGTCGTTCTCGTCGATATTTCTACGAGGACATTGGTATGCGAATGCAGAATGTTCAGAACTTTCGGAGTGTTATGTCGCCACATGATTAAGGTGATGCGGCTTCTTGGAGATTTTGGGGAAGCTAGTATGAGAAGTGTTCCAGATCATTACATACTCAAGCGATGGACGTTGGAGGCGAGAAAGAAAGAGGTTGTTGATGTCGATGGTTCTGTTGGTCCTTCAGCTTCTAGTGAGAATGATGCCGGTAAAGATATAGCAATGCGGTACCGAGAAACCACTGCAATGTTGAATCAGCTAGCAACGAACATGTCGATGGCCGATGAGAAGGACTACAACAAGTGGATGGGAGTAATCACGAAATTGTGCAATGAGGCAAACAAGGCATTGTCAAAGACTATTACTAGCGAGGACAGTAAGTATATACACTAATATCATTTGTAAATTGTTAGAGTTTAATATCATTGCACTTACTAAATTCTCTACCATTGTAGGACGGAATGTACCGATAACTGGGCTGACTTTGAAGAAGAAGAGTAATCCAAGGAGCCAAGGTAAGGAACGTTATAAGTCTATCAATGAAAAAGAACGCCGTCGAAAGAAACGGGTCTATAAGAAGAGAATGAAATCAGCTGAAGTGGTCACGCCGGACAACAATACTCAACCGGATGACCATATTAGTGATTTGGATGATAATATTGCTCAATGGTTATGAATAGAATGTAGGGAGGTTCGAGAGTGGTCTATTTTGATATGATATTGACAAGTGATTCCAGGAAAAGTTTTTGTATAGAAGTGGATATTAATCCACTTGTAGAGGATACTTGTCAGTGCAAACTTGATATGCACTCTATTTTGTACAGATATAGGTCTGGGCTTCCTGGATATTTATGTATAGAATGTAGGGAGGTTCGAGAGTGGTCTATTGTGATATGACATTAAAGGATAGTATCCTTTACAAGTGGTCTATTTATGTAGAGTATCCACTTGTGAGGGATACTTTTCTGGGCAAACTTGATATGCACTCGATATATTACAGATATTAGTCTGGGCTTCCTGGATATTTGTATTTTCAATGCAGGTACAATTGTTCCAATGATTACTTATTTCACTATTCACATGTGACCTTTTTGGTTACTGTACTCATGTGATCTTTTTTGTTACTGTGCTCATGTGACCTTTTTTGCATTTGTCTATTTAAGAGCCAACTTAAATGAACCCAAATCTGCTATCCTCCTCTCTCAGTTTCTTCTTCACTTCTCTTCCAAAGCAAAATCCATGTCTGGAGAGACTCCTAAACCAGCGCGCCGGGAATTGGTGGATGAGTTTGAATATGACGGTGTTGTATTCTGTTACCATGGTTGGAGAGCCGCCAAACGACTTGCTGTTGATGGAGTCAACCCACCGAAGAGGTATTTCCGATGTCGGATGTACGAGTACGACAATGATAACGGGTGTGGTTTTCACATGGATTGGGACGAATTAATGTTCGCCGGTTTTTCAGAGTCGGATGATGAAGATAACACCGAGGAGACCGTGAAGAAATGAATTTGTATTTCCTGTTATCACTTTGTATTGTGTTGAGTTTGTTTCTCTGTGATATTTGTCTGGGTATTTAAGATATTCGTCTGGGTCTTTAAGATATTTGTATGGGTCCTAAGGATATTCATCTGGAGATTAAGGATATTTGTATGGGTCTTGAAGATATTTGTCTGGTTCTACTGGATATCTTGCTGTCTCTTTCAGATATTCTTCTTCCTTTTGATGATGTTTGTTTGAAGAAAGATGGTATTTGTATGGGCTAAATGAGTTTGTATCGTGTTGATATTAATCTAAGTAAATAATGTATTATTTTGTGTTGTATTCTGTTACCATGGTTGGAGAGCCGCCAAACGACTTGCTATTGATGGAGTCAACCCACCGAAGAGGTATTTCCGATGTCGGATGTACGAGTACGACAATGATAACGGGTGTGGTTTTCACATGGATTGGGACGAATTAATGTTCGCCGGTTTTTCAGAGTCGGATGATGAAGATAACACCGAGGAGACCGTGAAGAAATGAATTTGTATTTCCTATCATCACTTTGTATTGTGTTGAGTGTGATATTTGTCTGGGTCTTTAGGATATTTCTATGGGTCCTTAAGATATGCATCTGGGTCTTTAGGATATTCGTCTGGGTATGTATGATATTTGTCTGGTTCTACCGGATATCTTGTTGTCTCTTTCAGATATTCTTCTTCCTTTTTGATGAGTTTGTATCATGTTGATATTAATCTAAATAAAGAAGGTATTAGTCTGTGTTGTATGGATAATCGACCAGCCAAAATAAGGATATTAGTCATTGTCAAAATAAGAATATTACTTATGTTGGTAATTATATCCAACATCTACCAAATTATCCTCCATCCTAATACAAACCATCATCCATTCCTAATTAGAAAAGAACATCTACCAAAATATCCTCCATCCTATCCAGCACACCTAAACAAATCTAAAATCAATTTCTCCTCCTTTTCCCTCTCACTTTCTCAATCTGCATACTCCAATCCTTTGCTTCTTGAATTATTGCATCCTTGTAGCCGTTATACTCCCATAACAGGAGGTTAGCTGCAATCCGTGTTCTTTGACAATCCACATGTTCCTTCTTGTGCCAACTGTTTTTACATTCCACCGGAATGTGACCCGCCCATTGCTCCATGTAGAGGCATGCAAATACACCACAATCATCGTTCCCGAGTTGCTGAGGAACATCAGCAATGCTGAATTCCCACTCATGCAATTTACAATCCACCCCCTGATGCTTGAGGAACTCCGTCACATACTCAAAGATCACTTTCCCCACTGGTGCATGATCTGCCTTAGCAACTCGGGCATTAGGCTTTTGGCTGTCGAGTAGGAAAGTCTTCCTATTCTTCATGTCAGCGACATACACTCGGTAGTGATCTTTGAGATACATGGGAAAGAAGATCTGAAACACAATACAGTTAGTGAGTTAATCATTGAAGAATATCCGAACAACCCATATTAATAGCTCAACAGCTCAGAAAAATATCCTATAAACCCAGACCAGTATCAAGGAAAGTCAGAAAAATATCCAAACATTGAAAGCACTTACATAATCACAGCTTTCCAAGTTTTCTCGTTTCAGCATTGGATTATTCTTGTGCAGGTCAATCCACCCCAAGATTCTCTCCTTGTCCATTGGTTTTTTTTTAATGGCATCATCGACGGCATATTGCTATTTAGAAGAGACAACAATATAAAATTAGACATTTTCAACATAAATAGGATCTAAGTAGTGAAGATAATACTTACCACATATGTCCATGGGAAGACAATTCTCTTCACCATCTCCTTATCTTCTTGGTAATTTAGGTACAGCCCGTATACTAAAATGACATGGCTATGAACCCAACTGTTACCCTTTAATGACAATATGTGGAGACGGCTAAGCGAGGCCTTTGGAGTTTTCACGATTATGTTGTGACTGTAAAACACACATTAATATCCAGGTTAGTTAGTAGCCATGAATTTGACAGATTGGAATTGGCGATTAAAGATGAACAACTTACTCGTCTTTAGCTGTGGTACTCCAGATGAACTCAACAACTTGCCGTGCCGTATCGTCGAGTTTCGTCGACGAAGACTTTGCCAAAACATACACTGATGAGTCAATTGGGTGGTGTTTTGACCTCTGGAATGCAGGAGTTTTAAGAGTTGCCTTCCATGCTTCTGGAGTGATAGAGTCCATAAACTCTGCCTCCTCCTGAGTCTGTGGCCTCTCACTTACGAGAATATCATCGTCCTCTTCCTCCAGCATCCTCTGGCATGCTGCTATCAGCTCCCCGTCTGATGGTAGTGCTTCGACATGGCTCTACAAAACATTGCCAAAGGTTAGTATCTACTAAAACAGAAACAAATATCCTAGAAGCCCAGACTAGTATCCATAAAAAATAAACAAATATCCATAAAGCCCAGGCTAGTATCCATAAAAAAGAATCAAATATCCAGAAAATTGAGACTAGTATCTACTGGTTAGGGAAATATTACCGTTGTGGGAGATGTCCTTATACTGGCATCGGCCGCAGTAGTGGCCTCGAAACCAATCTGCATTACATCAGCGAATGTGGTTTGCGGGTCGGTATAATGCATGTCCCGCGACTCCGACTCCACCGCTTCAACCACGTCATCACCTGCTGATGTAACTGCTGGCACACCGAACTCCTGAACAACTGGCAAGTCATTCTTCTTACTCCTTTTCCTGGAGTATACACGGCCAAACATGTTTTCCCTCATAGTAACCTTGTAACTGCTGACTACTACCTCATCTTCCTCTTCCTCCTCTTCCTCTACCTCCTCTACCTCCTCTTCCTTCTCCTCCATGACTACTACCTCATCCTCCTCTTCCTCTTCCTCTACCTCCTCTTCCTCCTCCATTTTAGCATTTGCTGCTGCTACCAAAATAGAAGAAAATTCTGCCAATCTGCCTCGAAGCCCGTCAAGCTCAACACCCACAAAGTCGAGCTGGAAATCAATGCATGCATATAAACGTTAATATCCGGACTGCCCAGGTAAGTATCCAACAATGAACCACAACTAATATCCTCGAGAATACATTAATATCCGCTTGTGAAAGTGTTAATATCCTGATGTTTTTTACAGGTATCCAGAAAGCCCAGACTATTATCCAATTGTGAAAGTGTTAATATCCTGATGCTTTCCTATAAATATCCATAATGCAAAATAATATCCAATTCATAAATAATATCCAAAAAAAAATACAAACCAATATCCAAACTCAACATGAAACAAACTTAAGTTCGATACAACCCTTGGTTCAAAGCCATTCCAACATGGCAATTATATAAATGAATAAAGCTCCATTACAATCACTTAATGACGTCCAAACATGCAAAGTTCAATTCTGGTCTTGCTGGCGCTCAATGGCAACCCTTCGGACACTTTCCCGCCATGAATCCCACTTATCCTTCACTTTTTCAGTCAAGGACTGAAGTGCCTTAAGCTACACATGCATCCCAAAAAATTTAGTTTACTACATGCACTCGTGTCTACTAAGGGACTCGATTTCCAATTTAAAAGACAATAATCTACATACCTCGTCGGTATCAAGGGACTCCAAGTCTGTTTCCTCCCACCATTCTGTCGTGTAGAACCGAGGAGTAGCTGTATGAGGAGCCGAGCTGCTTGTTCCTGATTCCCACTCCCTCCTGCCACGTCCTGGAAAGAAGCGAGATCGGACTTCTGTTAGCAGATACTAACACGGGCCGGATTTGAGCCACGTCGCCACTGCTGCAATCCAAGGGCCCAGAATCGCGGGCCTATTAATTGGGGCTGATGGGCTGAGAAGGAAGGGGTTTTGGGCGGGAGCAGCCAAAAACGGAAAAGTGGGCCCGCGTGGGAGGGTTGGGCGGGAGAATGAAAATGAAAACAAGTGGGCCAGGGGTCTTGATTTTTATTAGAACAAGCAAACTAAAAAATGCAAAACAAACTCAGCAGAAACCATTTATTGCCCAACCACCCCATTCTCCCTTTTCCGTCGAGAAGCCACGCACGCCGCCGCCCAACCACCACCAGCCGAACAGTAATTCCGGCCACCGTCCTTTCTTTCCGGCGAGCCTTGTCCACGATCGGCAGATGTTGATCGACGAGGAGAATGAGTTGGATGATCAACGAGCTTCTCCAATGAAGAAGGATAAACCGATCATCCAAAATAGTGAAGAAGAAGAAGAAGAAGAAGAAGAAAATACAGAAGAAGAAGGTGGTGCTCCTACCGTCGATGATGAAGAAGAAGAAGAAGAAGAAGAAAATAAAGGTTGATTGAGTAATTTATATATATGTTTGTGTTGTTGTGAGATTGGTTGGTTGCATTGAATGCTATTCAATGATATTGATGTTGTTATGGGGTACTGATATTGATACGGGGTTCATGGATACGTCCGACTTAGATGTTTGATATTCGTCTTGACATGTTGGATGTGGTGTGTGTTTGATACTAGTCTGGTACTTATGGATATTATTTTTATTAGACTGGATATTTATTGAACATTATGTACTCTAACAGTTTGTGGGTAATATTTCATTTGTTTATTGGACAATATGGATAATAACATGTCTCATACCATTAACTCGCAGCTCATAACACGTTGGACCTAGAAGATGAGGAAGCGAGGAAGAACATCTTTTATCGCACTAAGGATGAGTGCTTGGATTTCTATAAACGCTATGCTCACAAAAAAGGGTTTGGTGTTCGGATAGATGGAGAACACCTAAAAGAAAGGAAGAATTCTAATGGAGTGGTGGAGAAAAATTATTTTTATCTTTATTACTTTTGTAATAAGGAAGGTTGGACAAGCACTAGCGAAGTAAATGTCAATGTGGACGAACAAAGACAGCCAGAAGACAAAGTTGTGGAGAGAAGGCGCCCTAAAAGAAAGAGGTCTCGAGTTAGGGATGGATGTCCTGCTCGTGTTCGTTTTCGATGGGATGCTACTAGGGACGGATTTGTGGTGTATGAATTCGTAGAAGGCCACAGTCATGATTTGCACTCTACCGAGCATATGCACTTGCACAAGTCCAACAAGTGCATGAGTGATGCTCAGAAAAAGATGGCCGAAGCTAATCGCGATGCCGGGATGAGTCTTAGTGCATCGTATCAATTATTGGCTGACTGTGCTGGTGGCTATCAAAATCTGAGATTTTCCAAATCGGATCAGAAGAACCACTTGAACAGTAAAAGGCAAAGGAATATGGCTCGTGGCGAAGCGACTTATTTGCTTGACTACTTTGAGGACCAAAAAGAAAAGCATCCTGGCTTCTTTTATGCTGTAGAGGTAGATTGCGAGGAGAAAGTTGCTAATATCTTTTGGGCGGATAGTAGGATGCGTGAAGATTATGCGCTTTTTGGTGATTCGATCTCCTTTGATACCACCTTCCGAACCAATAAATACTTCCGTCCACTAGGTACGTGAACTACCTAACGAAGAAGATGTTTTTTCAACACTCGTTTTGTTATACATTGTCATTAATAGAATGTAAGGTGGTTCGAGAGTCGTCTGTTGTGATCCGATATTGACATGTGATGAAAGGATATGCTTTTGTAACTGCTGGGATACTTGTATGTCTTTAATTGGATACTAGTCTGGGCTTTACAGATATTTGTTGACATGTGTTGGCACACTAGCAAGTCCTAACACATAAGGCTTGCAACCTTAGTTAGGGCTGCCCGCCGAGGGCCCATGGGCCGAAGGCCCATGGAATAGAAATGGTTAGGAGTAGAATGTAGGGTGGTTCGATAGTGGTCTGTTGTGATCCGATATTAACTTGAGATTGCAGGATATGCTTCTTTAACTTGATGGATATTTGTCTGTTATAATGAGATGCTAGTCTGTGCTTTACAGATATTTGTTGACATTAATAGTTGTCTTGTGCAGGGATGTTTGTGGGTTTCAATCACCACCGTCAAACTTGTGTGTTTGGTGCTTGTTTGATGTATGATGAGACCATACCGTCTTTTGAATGGTTGTTTGTTGCATTTAGTCGGTGTATGAAGAAGAAGCTCCCAGTCACTATTTTTACTGATCAGGATGCCGCCATGGCAGCTGCCCTTAGAAAGGAGTGGCCAGAAACGTTTCATGCACTCTGTACTTGGCACATCCTCATGAATGCCAAGAAGCATCTTCGTAAAAACAAGAAATTTTGGAAGAAGTTCCAATCTCATCTTTCTTATATTTTCTACGACGTCGACAGTGAGAGAGAGTTCGACATGGCATGGAGCACAATGGTTGCTGATTGTTTCCCTAATAGCGAAATTGCGGACGGTCACCCATGGTTGGAATATTTGAAGAAATTTCGCCATCAATGGTGTTCCTTATGGTTGAGAGATCAATTCACAGGCGGGATGTTGACTACGCAAGCCAGCGAGTCGTGCAATGCACAAGTGCGACGTTTCTTGAAACCGAAGCATGATTTGGACATGTTTTTCATTCATTTTAGCAGGTACGTACGCAATATATATCTTTGCCTTTCTGTGATATTAGCTTGTTCGTTCGGGATATTTTTCTTTGTCATATGGATATTAATATGCTCTTGTTATATATTTTTTTTTGTTGTTCTGATATTAGTACTATTGTGAGTGGATATTAGTCTGGGCACTAATATCTTTTCTCTTGCTTTCTAAATGTAGTTTGGTTGCTGAAAAAAGACGCAAGGAGAGTGATTCAGACTACATTGGGAAACAATCGGTTCCCTATATAATGTTGGAGCACAGCCCGATCCTAAAACATGCGGCAAAGATCTTTACTTCTAACATCTTCAATCGGATACAGAAGGAGTATTTGACAACTGAAAAATATATAATGGAGACGCTCTCGGATACCAGGGATGATGGCATGATTGGCTACCGCACATATATGATAGAGGATGGTGAGCGTAGTGATGAGCGTGTCGTTCTCGTCGATATTTCTACGAGGACATTGGTATGCGAATGCAGAATGTTCAGAACTTTCGGAGTGTTATGTCGCCACATGATTAAGGTGATGCGGCTTCTTGGAGATTTTGGGGAAGCTAGTATGAGAAGTGTTCCAGATCATTACATACTCAAGCGATGGACGTTGGAGGCGAGAAAGAAAGAGGTTGTTGATGTCGATGGTTCTGTTGGTCCTTCAGCTTCTAGTGAGAATGATGCCGGTAAAGATATAGCAATGCGGTACCGAGAAACCACTGCAATGTTGAATCAGCTAGCAACGAACATGTCGATGGCCGATGAGAAGGACTACAACAAGTGGATGGGAGTAATCACGAAATTGTGCAATGAGGCAAACAAGGCATTGTCAAAGACTATTACTAGCGAGGACAGTAAGTATATACACTAATATCATTTGTAAATTGTTAGAGTTTAATATCATTGCACTTACTAAATTCTCTACCATTGTAGGACGGAATGTACCGATAACTGGGCTGACTTTGAAGAAGAAGAGTAATCCAAGGAGCCAAGGTAAGGAACGTTATAAGTCTATCAATGAAAAAGAACGCCGTCGAAAGAAACGGGTCTATAAGAAGAGAATGAAATCAGCTGAAGTGGTCACGCCGGACAACAATACTCAACCGGATGACCATATTAGTGATTTGGATGATAATATTGCTCAATGGTTATGAATAGAATGTAGGGAGGTTCGAGAGTGGTCTATTTTGATATGATATTGACAAGTGATTCCAGGAAAAGTTTTTGTATAGAAGTGGATATTAATCCACTTGTAGAGGATACTTGTCAGTGCAAACTTGATATGCACTCTATTTTGTACAGATATAGGTCTGGGCTTCCTGGATATTTATGTATAGAATGTAGGGAGGTTCGAGAGTGGTCTATTGTGATATGACATTAAAGGATAGTATCCTTTACAAGTGGTCTATTTATGTAGAGTATCCACTTGTGAGGGATACTTTTCTGGGCAAACTTGATATGCACTCGATATATTACAGATATTAGTCTGGGCTTCCTGGATATTTGTATTTTCAATGCAGGTACAATTGTTCCAATGATTACTTATTTCACTATTCACATGTGACCTTTTTGGTTACTGTACTCATGTGATCTTTTTTGTTACTGTGCTCATGTGACCTTTTTTGCATTTGTCTATTTAAGAGCCAACTTAAATGAACCCAAATCTGCTATCCTCCTCTCTCAGTTTCTTCTTCACTTCTCTTCCAAAGCAAAATCCATGTCTGGAGAGACTCCTAAACCAGCGCGCCGGGAATTGGTGGATGAGTTTGAATATGACGGTGTTGTATTCTGTTACCATGGTTGGAGAGCCGCCAAACGACTTGCTGTTGATGGAGTCAACCCACCGAAGAGGTATTTCCGATGTCGGATGTACGAGTACGACAATGATAACGGGTGTGGTTTTCACATGGATTGGGACGAATTAATGTTCGCCGGTTTTTCAGAGTCGGATGATGAAGATAACACCGAGGAGACCGTGAAGAAATGAATTTGTATTTCCTGTTATCACTTTGTATTGTGTTGAGTTTGTTTCTCTGTGATATTTGTCTGGGTATTTAAGATATTCGTCTGGGTCTTTAAGATATTTGTATGGGTCCTAAGGATATTCATCTGGAGATTAAGGATATTTGTATGGGTCTTGAAGATATTTGTCTGGTTCTACTGGATATCTTGCTGTCTCTTTCAGATATTCTTCTTCCTTTTGATGATGTTTGTTTGAAGAAAGATGGTATTTGTATGGGCTAAATGAGTTTGTATCGTGTTGATATTAATCTAAGTAAATAATGTATTATTTTGTGTTGTATTCTGTTACCATGGTTGGAGAGCCGCCAAACGACTTGCTATTGATGGAGTCAACCCACCGAAGAGGTATTTCCGATGTCGGATGTACGAGTACGACAATGATAACGGGTGTGGTTTTCACATGGATTGGGACGAATTAATGTTCGCCGGTTTTTCAGAGTCGGATGATGAAGATAACACCGAGGAGACCGTGAAGAAATGAATTTGTATTTCCTATCATCACTTTGTATTGTGTTGAGTGTGATATTTGTCTGGGTCTTTAGGATATTTCTATGGGTCCTTAAGATATGCATCTGGGTCTTTAGGATATTCGTCTGGGTATGTATGATATTTGTCTGGTTCTACCGGATATCTTGTTGTCTCTTTCAGATATTCTTCTTCCTTTTTGATGAGTTTGTATCATGTTGATATTAATCTAAATAAAGAAGGTATTAGTCTGTGTTGTATGGATAATCGACCAGCCAAAATAAGGATATTAGTCATTGTCAAAATAAGAATATTACTTATGTTGGTAATTATATCCAACATCTACCAAATTATCCTCCATCCTAATACAAACCATCATCCATTCCTAATTAGAAAAGAACATCTACCAAAATATCCTCCATCCTATCCAGCACACCTAAACAAATCTAAAATCAATTTCTCCTCCTTTTCCCTCTCACTTTCTCAATCTGCATACTCCAATCCTTTGCTTCTTGAATTATTGCATCCTTGTAGCCGTTATACTCCCATAACAGGAGGTTAGCTGCAATCCGTGTTCTTTGACAATCCACATGTTCCTTCTTGTGCCAACTGTTTTTACATTCCACCGGAATGTGACCCGCCCATTGCTCCATGTAGAGGCATGCAAATACACCACAATCATCGTTCCCGAGTTGCTGAGGAACATCAGCAATGCTGAATTCCCACTCATGCAATTTACAATCCACCCCCTGATGCTTGAGGAACTCCGTCACATACTCAAAGATCACTTTCCCCACTGGTGCATGATCTGCCTTAGCAACTCGGGCATTAGGCTTTTGGCTGTCGAGTAGGAAAGTCTTCCTATTCTTCATGTCAGCGACATACACTCGGTAGTGATCTTTGAGATACATGGGAAAGAAGATCTGAAACACAATACAGTTAGTGAGTTAATCATTGAAGAATATCCGAACAACCCATATTAATAGCTCAACAGCTCAGAAAAATATCCTATAAACCCAGACCAGTATCAAGGAAAGTCAGAAAAATATCCAAACATTGAAAGCACTTACATAATCACAGCTTTCCAAGTTTTCTCGTTTCAGCATTGGATTATTCTTGTGCAGGTCAATCCACCCCAAGATTCTCTCCTTGTCCATTGGTTTTTTTTAATGGCATCATCGACGGCATATTGCTATTTAGAAGAGACAACAATATAAAATTAGACATTTTCAACATAAATAGGATCTAAGTAGTGAAGATAATACTTACCACATATGTCCATGGGAAGACAATTCTCTTCACCATCTCCTTATCTTCTTGGTAATTTAGGTACAGCCCGTATACTAAAATGACATGGCTATGAACCCAACTGTTACCCTTTAATGACAATATGTGGAGACGGCTAAGCGAGGCCTTTGGAGTTTTCACGATTATGTTGTGACTGTAAAACACACATTAATATCCAGGTTAGTTAGTAGCCATGAATTTGACAGATTGGAATTGGCGATTAAAGATGAACAACTTACTCGTCTTTAGCTGTGGTACTCCAGATGAACTCAACAACTTGCCGTGCCGTATCGTCGAGTTTCGTCGACGAAGACTTTGCCAAAACATACACTGATGAGTCAATTGGGTGGTGTTTTGACCTCTGGAATGCAGGAGTTTTAAGAGTTGCCTTCCATGCTTCTGGAGTGATAGAGTCCATAAACTCTGCCTCCTCCTGAGTCTGTGGCCTCTCACTTACGAGAATATCATCGTCCTCTTCCTCCAGCATCCTCTGGCATGCTGCTATCAGCTCCCCGTCTGATGGTAGTGCTTCGACATGGCTCTACAAAACATTGCCAAAGGTTAGTATCTACTAAAACAGAAACAAATATCCTAGAAGCCCAGACTAGTATCCATAAAAAATAAACAAATATCCATAAAGCCCAGGCTAGTATCCATAAAAAAGAATCAAATATCCAGAAAATTGAGACTAGTATCTACTGGTTAGGGAAATATTACCGTTGTGGGAGATGTCCTTATACTGGCATCGGCCGCAGTAGTGGCCTCGAAACCAATCTGCATTACATCAGCGAATGTGGTTTGCGGGTCGGTATAATGCATGTCCCGCGACTCCGACTCCACCGCTTCAACCACGTCATCACCTGCTGATGTAACTGCTGGCACACCGAACTCCTGAACAACTGGCAAGTCATTCTTCTTACTCCTTTTCCTGGAGTATACACGGCCAAACATGTTTTCCCTCATAGTAACCTTGTAACTGCTGACTACTACCTCATCTTCCTCTTCCTCCTCTTCCTCTACCTCCTCTACCTCCTCTTCCTTCTCCTCCATGACTACTACCTCATCCTCCTCTTCCTCTTCCTCTACCTCCTCTTCCTCCTCCATTTTAGCATTTGCTGCTGCTACCAAAATAGAAGAAAATTCTGCCAATCTGCCTCGAAGCCCGTCAAGCTCAACACCCACAAAGTCGAGCTGGAAATCAATGCATGCATATAAACGTTAATATCCGGACTGCCCAGGTAAGTATCCAACAATGAACCACAACTAATATCCTCGAGAATACATTAATATCCGCTTGTGAAAGTGTTAATATCCTGATGTTTTTTACAGGTATCCAGAAAGCCCAGACTATTATCCAATTGTGAAAGTGTTAATATCCTGATGCTTTCCTATAAATATCCATAATGCAAAATAATATCCAATTCATAAATAATATCCAAAAAAAATACAAACCAATATCCAAACTCAACATGAAACAAACTTAAGTTCGATACAACCCTTGGTTCAAAGCCATTCCAACATGGCAATTATATAAATGAATAAAGCTCCATTACAATCACTTAATGACGTCCAAACATGCAAAGTTCAATTCTGGTCTTGCTGGCGCTCAATGGCAACCCTTCGGACACTTTCCCGCCATGAATCCCACTTATCCTTCACTTTTTCAGTCAAGGACTGAAGTGCCTTAAGCTACACATGCATCCCAAAAAATTTAGTTTACTACATGCACTCGTGTCTACTAAGGGACTCGATTTCCAATTTAAAAGACAATAATCTACATACCTCGTCGGTATCAAGGGACTCCAAGTCTGTTTCCTCCCACCATTCTGTCGTGTAGAACCGAGGAGTAGCTGTATGAGGAGCCGAGCTGCTTGTTCCTGATTCCCACTCCCTCCTGCCACGTCCTGGAAAGAAGCGAGATCGGACTTCTTCCCTCGACAGCAACACGGGAGCCACATCATATAACTCCGCCTTAGGGACAGCCGAGCATAGGTTATCCACCCTTGGTTCAAACCAATAGCTGCAGCTGGGGATTGTATTTGTGGCGATTCCTCTCACCTTAAGGAAATCCATCAAATGAAGCTACAAAAAAAAGTGTATGTTAGAAAAGATATCCCAATAATAAAAAGATATGCTAAAAAAAATATACACATCTTTAAACTGTAACTTACCATCAAGAATTGGATATCCCCATTAACCCACTGCATATCAGCTCCCCTGGCCCTAGCCTCACCTTCTCTTTTTTTTGTAACAGTCAGCTCTACCTTCAGCTGTCGGGCGACATGACCACTCCAATTAAAAGTTCTAATGTCCTCAACCCTCCCCGCCAAGTACTCGGCATAGTCAAACTTACAGATCCGGGAGCTTGTTGGAACGAGCAACGAACCAAGAGCCACGAGTAGGAACTGCTTCACTGCAGCTGCAACAGGTGGCCTCCGACTCCCTCTACCCCGACCTTTAGTCGACTTACTCAACTTAACCATCTGCACAAGTTTCATATTTCGTTCCCGATTACCCTCCAAGCCGAGCTCCTCCTTCAGAACATTGAGCATAGAGTTATTGGCCTTCACAAGGTCAATCTCAGCACCGCCAAGAGGAATGCCGTATACACGGGCAGCATCCTCATCTTCAATGGTGAGCACCTGTTGCAAGTTAGAAGAACAAAGAGCAATGAGTCAATGATCAAGCATACAACAAAAAAATACAATAACCATACAACAAATAGTGAGCACCTTTTTGTTTTCGCCTTCACCAAAAATGAAGCTGCTGGTGCGGATGTCGTAATGTGCCATCAAGGTAGGCAGCATCTGCTTAGGAACATCGACCAGCCGAAGCTCAAATAGGCCTCCAAATCCAGCCTTCTCGATCTCTCTCTTGCAAGCTTCATAGTATCGTGGATCTTGCTTCCAGTCTTTTATAATTGACAACACCTTCTTGGTGGTACAGCGAAATCTATACTGGCGCCCTCCTGCTTCTTCAGCATTTTCTTCGTCCTCGCCATCTTCGTCCTCGCCATCTTCGTCCTCACCATCTTCGTCCTCGCCATCTTCGTCCTCACCATCTTCGTCCTCATGGGATTGCCCATCATCGTCTTCATGCTCAATTTCATCATCCACAAAATCAGATTCTTCTTCCTCCTCTTGCTGTTGTTGTTTAGTACGTTTAGGCCTCGAGGTTTCACCTCCTGTTAAGGGCCTCATTGCTGCTTGAGCTTTAGTTCTCGGCCTCGAGGTTTCACCTCCTGTTAAGGGCCTCATTGCTGCTTGCTCTTTAGTTCTCGGCATTGCTGGTGTTTTCCCTGTACATTAGAATACCCAAATTCATCAAACTGATATCCAGATACACCAAACAGATATCCAGGCAATTCACCTAAAATATCCAGATATACCAAACAGATATACAGGCTCGTGAAAATAAATATCCTGCTTCAGATACACAGACCAGAACAGGTGCAACACAGATCCAGTCAAATAAGAAAAAATTAAATCGGGTTACCCAAAATCGTAGCCATGCAGATCAGGAAAATACCCAAAGATTTCAACACTCGTATCCATCACACAAACCCCAACCAACCATTAAAGCCGAGCCAGCCAAAACCCACAATCCATTAAACCCTAAATACAATCCATGCAAAACCTAAAAATGAATCGATGAAATCAAACAATCTGCAAAACCTAAAAATGAATCGATGACATAAAAATCAAGCAAGGGGAAGACATAAACACCGAATTCACAAACCCTAATTAGATCAATGTAAGCGAGGCAACGAGGGAGAAAGAGAAAATTGAAAATTGGAATCGGGAACTGGCAGACCTTCGGTGGCGGTGTCCTGCTGGGCCTCGCAGACGATGGAGGAGCGACGAGGCGGGGCGGGAGTGAGAGATCGGAATGAACGAGTCGGCGAGGCGAGCTTGAGACCTCTGGCGGCAGGGAGAGGGAGGGATCGGGAGCACGGAGATAGAAAGGAAGAAGCCGCGGCGGGTTGGAGGCAGGAGGAGGAGGAGGTTCTGGGGCGAGGAGAGGGACAGGGAGCGGCGGTGCGGCAGAGAGAAGGAGAGGGAGCGGCGGCGGAGAGAGGGACAGGGAGCGGCGGCGGCAGAGAGGAGAGGGACAGGGAGCGGCGGCAGAGAGGAGAGGAGCGAAACCCTAGCTCAGACGCGTGCAATTTTTAGAGAGAGAGGGAAAATGGTCGACTGATCCAATATTCCGGCGGGTTGGGTTTATTTTTTTTGACAAAATCGCGGGTTGGGTTTAGGGTATTCAAAATTTGGGTTTTTTGAAATTGTGGGCCCTGCGGGCCCATTTTTATTTTTAGGCCGGTCGACGTGGAGAAGCCACAGGCTTTGTTAGTATCTACTAACAAAAATGCCTGTTAGCAGGATAGCTAAGGTGAATGAAAGTGACAAGTGTATTTATTGCAAGTCAGAGAATAACACTTGCACTATCATATGTTTGTATGTAGATGACATGTTGATATTTGGTACAAATATTCACGTGGTCAATGAAGCGAAAGCCATGTTAAAAGAGAGCTTTGAGGTGAAAGATCTGGGAGAAGCAAAGTTTATGCTTGGAATCCAGATAACTAGAACAGCAAATGGTTATTCTCTAGATCAATCTAGCTACATAGAGAAGATCTTGAAGAAGTATAACTATTTCGACTGTAAACCTGCGTGTACTCCGTATGATGCTAGTGTAAAGCTATTTAAGAACACTGGAGACAGTGTAAGACAATCGAAATATGCTAGCATCATTGGCAGTCTCCGTTATGCTGCGGATTACACTCGACCAGACATTGCATATGTCGTGGGATTGCTTGGCAGGTTTAACAGCTGTCCTAGTAGAGAGCATTGGAATGCTATAGAGAGGGTCATGAGATACCTCAAGAGAACAGCAAACCTTGGTATACACTATCAAAGGTTTCCCGCTGTACTAGAAGGGTATAGTGATGCGGATTGGAATACCCTATCAGATGACTCCAAGGCAACCAGCGGATATGTTTTTAACATAGCTGGTGGAGCTGTGTCTTGGAAGTCAAAGAAACAAACAATCCTAGCTCAATCAACTATGGAATCAGAGATGATAGCACTAACAACGGCTAGTGAAGAAGCAAGTTGGTTGAGAGGATTGTTGTCAGAGATTCCCCTATGGGAAAGGCCGGTCCCTCCGGTATTGATACATTGTGATAGTACCGCAACTATCGCTAAAGTCGAGAACCGGTTCTATAACGGAAAGAAACGACAGATTCGTCGTAAGCACAGTACTGTTAGAGAACTCCCAACGATAGGAGCAGTGAGGGTGGATCATGTAAGATCCGAACAGAATCTAGCTGATCCTTTGACAAAAGGATTACCTAGAGAGAAAGTCCAGAATACCGCCAAGGGTATGGGGCTTATGCCTACCGAACCATGGACTACAAGTGATGGTAACCCGACCCAATAGACTGGAGATCCCAAGAAATGGGTTCAATGGGTAATAACAAGTCATGAGTAGTATGCGAAAAGTTCATGCATAATGAAGCATGAATCCCAAAGCAATGGAGGTTGAGTTAATAACTCTTAATGAGATCTATACCCTATGTGGGGTGGAATACTTTACTTTGGGGGTACTCCTGATAGACTCACCTATGTGAATGTGGGAGTGGGGCCGCTCCCTATGGAACTTTGAGAGGCACAAAGTTGCTAGAGCGTTCACTAAACCAGGATAACGTGCATGCCCATAAACGCACGGGCTAAGAAGAGAACACAACTCAATGAAAAGATCCGGTGTGCTACACTGTCTGAGATAGGGTTCAAGACTACGAGTCACCCTTATGAAAACGGAAGTGTAACCACTACGCTAAGGTTCAAATCTTTGCGATACCTTAGCTTATGCCCGATCTTATGGAACTGTTGATGCTCAGAGATAGTTTCAAAACTATTCAAGTGGGGGATTGTTGGAAATGTGTATGAATAGCTTTGAAGACTATAGAGTCTCAAGTGGAAAAACTACCACATTGGTAGTTTTACTTGGTGAAGAGAGTATAAAGATAGGAGCCTCTCTCCTAAGGGCATGCCCCTTGGGGTGACCCACTTTTGTGGGAGATGGAGGACCTAACGGACCACCACACACACGCGCGCGCGCCGTCCGTCCGGTTGGTTGGTTGGTTCACTTGAGACTATATTCGAAGGATAATCCCCGCAGGATTTATCCTAACTGACGGTTTTAATTAAGGAAGTAATTATCTTCCTTAATTAATCCGACTTATTCCCCAAGCAAGAGGGTATATTCCTAGGGGTTCGGCTCCTATAAATAGCCGCCTCCCCATCCCCTCTAAACACACCACAACGAGAATAAACACAATAGAGAGAGTGTTCAGAGAGCTCCGGTTTTCGCACAAAACCGCGAGTACACAGAGGAGCTGTTTTATCCTGGAGACGACCGGTTGATAGTCTGTCGTGCGCATCGAGGGCAGTGCCGCGAACGTCTTAAAGAGAGCGACCTAGTCCGTGACTCAGCTCCAGATTCGGTAACCTCGTTCTTATTGTTGTTCGGTTCCCAACAAATGTGAGCAATTCCGCGAATAGCAATAAGAAAAGAAAAGAAAATCCAAGGGTAGTGAGGAGAATCTGCATAGTGTCTCGCGTCCTAGTCCTAGTCCTAGTCCTAGTCCACACATGCTGGATCTGGCTCTCATATATGCTAGGCTACGGGATCTGATCTGATCTCTTAAGAAATTATCTCTGTGTTTTTTATAATTAATTATTGTGTATTTTCCTTTCCCCAATTTTAATAACAACTTTAGTCTAGCTGTACTGCATAGTGCATACAGAAGCAGCAGAGCAGAGCAGAGACAGAGGCATTTATTTATATGGTGTGGAAGGTTGCTGCTGCCGGGACTCTTTGGCCGCTCCTTTCCCTCCTCCTCCCATGGCTTCTTCTTTGTCTACCTCTGGCTCCCACCACCGCATAAACTCCATTTGCTCATTTCTTGTTCCTCTGCGCTTCCTGTTCCTTATTGCCTCCCTCCACGACTCTTTGCTGCTAGTCGACGCCACCGCCTCCTCCCTGAAGCTCACATTCACCGCCCCGGCCAAGTACTGGACCGACGCCATTCCCATTGGCAACGGCCGCCTCGGCGCCATTGTCTGGGGCGGCGTAGCTAACGAGACTCTTCAGCTTAACGGTGCCCAGCATAGAACAGAGACTGATTGAGAATGTGGTTGTGCATTTGGTTTGGGATTTTTCTTGATTTTTGCTTCTTTCGGTGTTAGATGATACGTTGTGGACCGGCGTTCCTGGAAGCTACTCCGATCCCAATGCGCCGGCGGCTCTATCGGTGGTCAGAAAGCTCGTTAGTGCCGGACTCTACCCGGAAGCATCCGCGGAGGCGATTAAATTGTCAGCAACTCCCTCTCAGGTGTGTTCTGCTCTGCTCTGTTCCCCACAAGTTCAATTTTCAGAATCCAGAATGTAGAACTAGAGGCTAGTAGAGGCTAGAGGCGAAAGAGGGTTTTGTAAATAAAAGGAAATAAATAAAGGGAAATAAATGTAGGTTTACCAGCTGCTCGGGGACATAGTGCTTGAATTTGACGCCTCGCATCAGAAATACGATCCAACCACATACCTCAGAGAACTGGATTTGGACACTGCAACCGCTACAGTGAAATATTCCGTTGCGGGTGTGGACTACACAAGGGAGCATTTCGCTACAAACCCTCACCAAGCAATAGTGACCAGAATTTCTGGGAGCAAACCAGGGTCTTTGTCATTCACTCTTCATCTGCACAGCAAGCTGAATCACACCACTAGGCTCCTCCCAGCTCAAAACCAAATCCTACTGGAAGGAAGCTGCAGGGGACACCCCAACGGAATTCGCTTCGCAGCCATGCTGGACTTGAGGATCCGAGGAGGGGAAAAAGCATCCGTCAGCGTCTTAGATGGTGGGAACAAGCTCAAGGTTGATCTCGCGGATTCGGCAGTGCTCATTCTGGTGGCTTCATCTTCATTCGATGGGCCTTTTACTAGCCCTGTCGATTCCAACAAGGACCCAAATTCAGACTGCCACAAGGCGTTGAGCTCACTTGCCAATGTGGCGTACGCGGATCTAAGAGCCAGGCATTTGGAGGATTATCAGCGCCTTTTCCGCCGCGTTTCGTTGCAGTTGTCTCCTGGGCCTGGCTCCAGCTCCAACTCAGGGGGCCATGTTGTGGCAACTGCAGAGAGGGTCAAGTCCTTTAAGACAGACGAGGATCCGTCGCTGGTGGTTCTCATGTTCCAGTACGGTCGTTACTTGCTCATATCTTGTTCCAGGCCTGGCACCCAGGTGGCAAATTTGCAGGGGATATGGAACAAGGATGTCAACCCGCCATGGGAGTAAATGCTTCTTCCCCTAATTTCATTTGATTTTGTGGTGGAAATACTCACTCCTAGTGCTTCTCCTTTGTACAGTGGGGCTCAACATTTGAACATCAATCTGCAAATGAACTACTGGCCAGCGCTGCCCTGCAATCTCAAGGAATGCCAAGAGCCATTGTTCGACTACATGTCCTCCCTTGCAGTCAACGGGAAGAAGACCGCTAAAGTAAGCAAGCACTCTATCTTCATTCTCATTCTCATTCTAATCCAACACTTCCGCTCAAAACATTGTGTGTATGACAGCCAACATTCCTTCCCTCGGTTCGGTTGATACAATTGTGGCAGGTGAACTACGGAGTTAACAATGGCTGGGTTGCTCATCAGGTCAGTGACATATGGGCTAAAACGTCTCCAGATCAGGGAGATGCCGTATGGGCTATGTGGCCGATGGGTGGTGCTTGGCTTTGTACTCACGTGTGGGAGCATTATAGCTATACAATGGACAAAGTAAGCTGTTCAGTTTCCAATGACCAATGTCCCTTCCCTTCCCTTCTCGCCCACCCTGTCTTAGCTGTGTGCTTGTATTGTACGCCACCAGGACTTCCTCGAGAAGAAGGGCTACCCTTTGTTGGAAGGATGTGCAGAGTTTCTGCTAGGCTGGTTAGTGGTGGGGCAGGGAGGTCATTTGGAAACCAACCCATCAACTTCTCCTGAGCACAAATTCATTGCTCCAGATGGCAAGCAAGCTAGTGTGAGCAACTCAACAACTATGGACATGTCAATCATAACACAAGTCTTCTCAGATATTCTTGCCGCTGCTGAGGTAAAAAATAAAAAATAAAATGAATTTCTTCCTTGTGAGATTTCGCTTCTTATCCTTATCGGGCCAACCCAACCAAATTAACTTCTCTGCCCTTCATGCGCCCTGCAAAATTCAACAGACTCTAGGGAGGCAGGATGACGAACTCGTTCACAAAGTTCGTCTAGCTAGAGCCCGCCTGCCACCCACTAAAATTGCCAAGGATGGCACCGTCATGGAATGGGTAGGCGCGTAAAACCACAATCAATCTTCTCCTACCTATGTATAAACCGTAATGTTTGGTTCTGTTTCCTTGAGAGAGCTGCAGGCTTTTGAGTTTGAAGACCCAGAGCCTCAGCACAGGCACGTTTCTCATCTCTTTGGGCTGTTCCCTGGCCACGCCATTACTCCTCAACACACTCCTGACCTTTGCAGTGCTTCTGAAAAGACTCTTGTCAAGAGAGGTACGGATATAATAATGTACCCTGTCCGAATTGAATGAGAAGATTGACTTGTTTCCACGCATTTATCACCACATTTGCCTTCTCGTCCTACTGCTGCGAAACTCGAAAACAAAACAGGTGTCGAGGGTCCAGGATGGTCGACTGTGTGGAAAACTGCACTGTGGGCAAGGCTACTAAAGAGCAACAAGGCATACGAAATGGTGAAGCATTTATTCAACTTGGTGGATCCAGCCCATGAAGGAGACTACGAAGGAGGAGTTTTTAGCAACTTGTTTACAGCTCACCCACCATTCCAGATTGATGCCAACTTGGGGTGAGCAATAACTGTACATACTTGTGTCACTTGGCGAAAACAACTCATGACCCACCCATCCACCCGCATTCATTATAATCAACCATCTGCAATGTCCCCTCCTTTTGGGTGCAGCTTCTCGGCAGCTATAGCAGAGATGCTAGTACAAGGCACAGGGACTGATCTGTACTTGCTCCCTGCTCTTCCACGCGACAAGTGGCCCGATGGGTGTGCCAAGGGGTTAAGGGTGAAAGGAGGTGTGACCCTCAACCTGTGCTGGAAGCAAGGCCAGCTCCATGAAGTTGGTCTTTGGTCAACGGAAGGCGATTCTGTGCAACAATTGCACTATGGAGAAAATATGGTGAAGGCGAGTGTTGTGTCGTGTAATGTGTACACGTTCAACAGGAATTTGGTGTGTGTAAGTACTGAATCCCTTTCGGAAGAAGGTAGTTCTTGTTGAAAAGATTGATAATGGAGACAATATATGTAGAGATATTTTATACATCTCCACCGAGAAAAATGGAGCATTCCTTTCAATTGTTAACTAGTTCGGAAAGCCCGCCCTGCGCGGCGGGTTGCAAAATGAACATCTTACGATCTAAATAAATAACCAATAACAATTTGGAGAGAATTCAGTATAGCATCTGACTGTGGAAGGGCAAAATGCACTAATAAATGGAACAAAAGGGCTGTGTCTTAACCTGCTAATAAATTAATAACTAAAATACTCATATCCTACACATACAGGAAGCATCCACTCGTACTAAGACCCAACTAAATTCACAACCCGAGAAAATTATCCCAAGAACTGAAAAAATAAAAAGATTTACATCAGTATTTAACACAGACCCAAAATGTACAATTATCATGTGAAGGAAATTTTATCAGTGGCATTGAAAGAAGACCATATAGATAGCCTGCAATGAAGGGGTCGTTTGGAAGTTGCGATTGTTTTGTTGAGATTGTCATTATGCATGTATTGTTTACAATGCATCGTTTTTTTGTTTTTTTAGCAAAAACAATACATGGATTGTTTCTGTGATGTGACAGAAACTATCACTCATTTTGAGTGATTGTTATATCTCAACTTTTAGTTGTGATTGTTGAGATAGTTGAGTTGAGATTGTTTTGTCTCAGCTTTTAGCTGATGCGACATACACAATCACACATACCAAACGTTGTATTCTATAATGCATCAAATTCGACAATACATGTATAATATTATACATACATTCTCATCAATACATCTATTTAACAATCCCAACTTCCAAACGACCCCGAAGAACATTTGAAAGAACTTTAGTAGATAGCGACAGAGCAAACAACTGCTGAATTTTTTTAGCTCTAATAGGAAGTAGAGAAGGGGGAGAGATCTCAATGAATCTGCCTTTGATATGCACCTTCAAATCTCTCAATATAACCCGTTTACTCAATAGGCTCATATCTATAAAAAATCTGGAGGGCGACAAAACCTGAACTGCGATATCAATGAAGGAATCATCTAATTCAATGAATAAGGAAAACAAAGTCAATGAAAAATGGTTAGACCATTCATCTTATGAACCCAGAAACACATGATTTCTGGGCTGTGAAGTGCGAACAACAATAGTCAGAAAAACTTGATAGAATTTTTAAAAGGCAAAATACACCCGTGTAGCCAAAACTTTGACGGTTTGGCCAAATATAGCCACGTTTGGCGAAATACCAAAAATAGCCACTTCCGTCCAATTGTTTGACGGTGTTAGTTAACGTGCTGACTGGACTAACAGAAAATTTGACGTGTCAACCTTTTAGTCAACCAAGATATGAGGTGGAATTAACAGAAAAAAAATAATAATAATCAAATATTTTTTATTTTCTCTCTCTCCCTCTCGGTTCTTTCGCCTTCTGTACCCCAACCGCCTCTCATCTTCCTCGCGCTCTCCCTCTCCGCGACTATCCTTCCACTCCGACGCATCTTTCCTTGCGACTATCCCAAGCCAATCGTTGGTGAATGAAAACGATTGATGGAGTTAACCCACAAATCCCCCCCCCCCCCCCCCTTGATTCTCCTTCGCTAATGGTGATGATGAGAAGTGGTGTGCAGAGAGGGTCGGCCGGAGCTGGCAGCGCCATCATTGACCCCGCCAGGGTAGGGGGAAGATGGCGGGACATCAATCTGCAGCTACACCCGCATCCACAACTCCACTGTCGGTCGATAGCGATGGTGACGGCAGTAGGGATTGGGCGATTATGGGTTTGGTGGCGGCAAAGATTTGGGGATTAGGGATTTGGTCTCTATTGTATGTCTTCTCCTTCGTAGAGTTTCTAATTCTACAAGCACCCCAGATCCGCCTCACAATCTCCCATAGCAAGAAAGCATTGATTTATTGGGGCCGCAATGATTGATTAATGGGTCGAATAGAGATGATGGTGGGATCGTGGCGGCAGCCGACTGAAAGAAGTGGTCGTAGTGATGGTGGTGATAAGGCAGGGAAGTATGTGGTGGCAGGTAAAAAAACTTATTTATTTATTGTTTTATTTTATTGTTTTTAGTTTTCATAAATAAATAAAGGTTAATTCAGATAAAAAAGGCTATTTGATTTTTATTTGCATTTATCCACCTGAAATTGTTAAAAGATAAATCAAAATGATGTGGCAATGATATTGATGACTTGTCGCTGACGTGTGTGATGATTTGGCATCCTAGTCGGCCAAACGTTAACTTAACTACCATAATTTCTAACACCGTTAAATTTTGTAACGGAAATGGCTATATTTGTCATGAAACTTTCAAAATTCTGGCTATTATTGGTATTTCCCCAAAAGTGGCTATTATTGTCACAAACGTCAAAGTTTTGGCTACACAAATGAATTTCACCTTTTTAAAAAGATAGTAAAACAAAATAAAACACCCAAAAGCATTAAAAGGAGTACAAATACTTGTATTTTCTCTTTCTCGCAACCAAAGAACATCATGAAACTCAAAATTAGAGGCAACTAAACAGAAAGGAAACAAATAGATGAAACCAAGAGATTGATAGTGTCCCAATGATTGTGTTACACAATAGTTTGAGAAATAAGATCTCAAAAAGGATGGAAATTAAGAGAGATTGGAGTGACTCTTAACCTGATACCAAACACGGAATTAATTAACTGGGAATTCACAAGAAGGTAGGATTAAATGTTGAGCTAAGCGACTCAGTTCATTACCAAGAAAATGAATTGGGCTGTAATTCATGACACAAGTTTAACTCAATTTCAAAACAGAACATGAGATTAGTATTGAGCTGTAGAGAACCTTAGTGTTCCTTCTTATTTCATACCTAGCAATGGTCGAGGGTGAATCTGCTAGATACATCCTTCGACAAGCTACTGAAATATCACAGAAGAAAGGGGTAGCAGTAAAGAAAAAGGAAAGCAAATCAAATAACTGATGTTTGTAAGACTATCACACCAATTACATATAAAGTTACTCAGTTTCACTATGATAGGTTACAGTCAAGGTCTCAGACACCATGGTGTGGAAGTGTTCTTCCCTGAAATCATGAAAAAGCGTAGATTTCAGCTCTCGGCATTGAATCCTTTACCCTTCAATAAAAAATCAAACCATACATTGTTCATAAGGCATGAAAGGACTTTGAAAGTGTAGCTTTTACAGGAACAACGGTAAGAATATTCTAAAGAACTCTGTAATCAAATCCTCTACGACATTTCCAGACTTCTTGCGAAGAAGACTTCATCTTTGAGCATGGAAAAGAACATAATTGAATCCAAACATTTAAAGTAAGAACACCGCAATGAGAACACAAAACTATAAGTCTGATTTGCATACCGAACATAAAGATTTGTTCTTCATGATACATCAATGATCCTTGTTTTGGAGAAGAGAACTAGAGAGCAAAAAAAAAAAAAGGTAGAAAGGACGTGCAGATTCAGCAGGGAACACATATATTAAGAATGACGGTAATGGGTCGCCAACAACATCAGTAAGTTTCCAAAATGGCTATATTCATCCATTCAATAACAGTTTGTAGAATATCGAATTCAATCAATTAATAGGATTACTTTTCTGTTTGTTTACATGTAGATAAAATGGGGTGGATGACTTCTACTCAACACAGTAAAAGCAAAGAAGGCTGTTTGGAAAGTAGGGGCACCCTTTGTTCTAAAAAAGGATACAAAACCACCATTGAAGCTTCAGAAAAAAGTGAACAAACCATTTTGAGGAAGGAAGGAAGAGAAAGAACTTAGCTACAGGAAATACGAAAGTAAACTAAACAGGAAGAGATAACAATAACCTCGATCGAAAATGCAGTTTGGTGGGTCTGCTTGTTCTCATTACTAAACTCTAAACTCTGAAATATAGAAAACAACTTAACTCGCCGATGTGGAACTCGTGGACCTGGGTCCTCTCAGAATCCTCTATGTTAGGTTGCAGAACCAGACACCTGTTCGCTTGGAGCTCCTCTTACCTCCTAAACCAAGATGGAAGAAACCAACACAGACAGGAGTTATAGGGAGAAGTCAAATGAGTTGAGTGAAAATGAAAAAACAATGGAGACCATCTACTTCAGTTCCACGACTCACATCTATTACCCAAGATGTATATGGGTGTGCTTGGTAGAAAGAGGCAGCATGAATATAAACTTTACTACTCTTAACAACTTTGTAAACCGAAGCAAGATTAAATGGTCTGGAAATCAACCAGAAGGTCATTGCAGTAAAGTGTAGAAATGGTTTTGACAAATTATGACAATGATGTAGACCAATTCAGTTTCCCGTATCCAACCAAATCAATCAAAAAAATCACAGACGGAGACACAATTCCAACATGATCTTTGATAGGCATGTAAATCCAAGCAAGGAGACATAAATGGTCTATAAAATAGTAATGAATCACCAAAGATGCAATTCACTAAAAGATTGACATCAAAATGAATCTACCATATTGCTTCAATGTGATCCTCACTTTCACAGTATCCCAAGTAATGAATTGCCTCATCTCCAAATTCCTGAAACGCAAAGAAATAGAGGTCCTTAACCTTATCCTTTGTCTCGACAACCATTCCACAAGGCACATCAACCTAAGTATCCATCACAAAGTTAAGGGCTTTATCAACTTCAGAATAACAAAGAAAGACAAAATAGAAGACCCATCTTTATTGAAGGTTGAAGAAAGCAGAGGAATATCAGCAAGGAAAAACTCCTCATTATCAACCTGAATGACATCCCCAACTTTGAGATGGTTACATCTAGTTCCTGTGAATGTAAGAGTCTGACCAAACTCCTTCACCTTCATGTTGTTAGCTTCTATACCTGAAACCAATTAGAATTTCGGACCATCAATGGCTCGTTGCATGGTTTATGCTTAAGAGCTCAAACACAGGACATACAGAACCCATAACATACATCCATGAAAAATACAAAACCCATAGGTGCAATCTGAGGTTTGGAACTTCTGATTGGTCAAAGAGATTCCATCGACAAACCTATATCTACAATGATGAGTTTGATCAAAGAAGCTGGCCAGCGCACAATGAATTGGAAAAGCAAGCATCCATCTCTAAAACTGCATCCCTTCTACAATCTTCTCCAGTGTGTAATCTAAAATCATAAAAGGTGAGTAGAAGATAAACCCCGAAGCAGTTATTATA